GCCTGGCCAACTGTAACAGAAACAGCTCAAAATGATCCTATCTTTTTTAACAAGGTGACAGATCAAAACTGCAAGTCATGCAGCTGAAGCATGCGTAGAGGAGAGAACTTTGACCTCCAGCTGCACCCAGAACCAAAGTCTGGCCCGTCCCTGTCCCCGCCACCTCCCCCAATCCCCAGGGAACCACAGACTTGGACATAAGCTGACATTGAGCACAGGAACATTTTCAGAGGTGAAAGGTCCCTTGTCCTGGAACATCCAGTGCTGATGCCCCTTTACCATAAATGATTAAGCTCCAAGGTCCTCCAATTAAAACTTGTCCCTCCAGGGCTTCCACTTACCTGTTCCCCCAACCCCTTAAAAACCCGCCTGAACCCTGGACCAGGGAGTTTGGGCTTTTGAGCATTAGCTTCCTGTTCTCCTGAGTGGCACCATTCATAATAAAATTGCCAGTCTTTCTCCACTGCGATTCTTGGTGTTTAGTATTTGACTCTGCTCGTGCTGGATGGACGAACTCTTTCTGTTTGGTAACACAAGCACAGCTCAGGAGTGTGGGGGTTAACATCCCTAAGGGCAATGTTCAGTTATGGGTGTCAGGAGCTGGTGGGTAAATGCCCCCGCCTCCCTTGCTCCAGGGGGATAATTTTGGGGCATTCTACATGCACCTCAGGAGGTTCTGGACAAATCAGGCCCACAGTGACAACCTGATAACATACCTTGCACTAGGCGTTGCACCTTCCCTTTCTCACCCTCCTAGCTTTCTCACTGCTGCTCTCTAGGGTCACCTCTCAAACAAATTACCTGCACCCCAATCCTTGTTTCAGGCTCTGGTATGGCTTTATTTATTTTAAATTTATCTTTATTGTTGAAAGTATTACAGATGTCCCCCCTTTTCCCCCCTCTGAACCCTTCCACCCTGCTTTTGTTGGGGAGGAACTCAAGTTAGAATTCTTTTTGTAATCTCCCTCTCAGGGCCCCCCTTTCCTTGTGCAGAACCATCAGCTCTTTCCAATCCTTAAGTCCGGATTCAGCTCAGGCTCCTATTTGCATATCTACGACCTCAACTGTAGTTTTGAAAGGTATATCAGATTCTGTCTAGGACCAGAGGTAAAGAGTGTTTTAGCCCTGGCTGGGTGGCTCGTTGGAATGTCGTCCCATACACCAAAAAGGTTGCAAGTTCAATTCTGGGTCAGGGCACATACCTAGGTTGTGGGTTCGATCCCTAGTCAGGTCATGTACAAGAGGCAACAGATCAATGTTCCTCTCTCATTTCAATGTTTCTCTCTCTTTCTCTCCCAAATCAATAAAAACATATCCTTGGGTGAGGATTTAAAAATAAAATAGAGTGGCCCGGCCAGTGTGGTTCAGAGGTTGAGCATCGACCTAGGATCCAGGAGATTGTGGTTGGATTCCAGGTGAGGGCACATGCCCGGGTTGTGGGCTTGATTCCTAGCAGTGGGTGTGCAGGAGGCAGCTGACCAATGACTCTCATCATTGATGTTTCTCTCTCTCACTCTCCCTTCCTCTCTCTGAAATCAATATAAATATTTAAAAATAAAAAAAAACCAAAAAAAACCAGTGTTTTAATTTTTCAGCCTAAATTCCTAAAGAAGGAAAAACTGTAAGGACCTATACCAAAATGTCAAAAATGGTCATCTGAAGATAGAAGGATGGGTGGTTTAAATTTTCTTTTTTTTTTTTCTATTAGAAAAAGAGAGAATGGCCTAGGCCGACGTCACCAAACCAACACTTAGTACCTAACTTGCAGTTTCAGCCTCTCCAGTCCATCTTGCATTTCCTGGTCAGCAGTAGTGAGGTAACCCACCTAGTGGACCCCAAAGAAAGAGGAGGTTATCTGCTCTTGCCTTGTCCCTACCCCCTTCTGCTTATACAAGCCTTCAATTTTGTGCAGCTCCTCGGAGCTCCTGTCTGCTAGATGGGCTGCCACCTGATCATGAATCATTGAGTAAAGCCAGTTATATCCTCAAATTTACTCATTTTTGATTTTAAAAGTTTCTTTGTATTTTCCAAAATTTCTGTGACAAGTATGTCTTCATTTTGTAGTAAGGAAAAAAACCAATAAAAGTTAATATAAGAATTTGACCAAACTGACTTTTTAAAAATAACTTTATAATTTACATACCATAAATTCACCTATTTGAAGCATACCATTTAATGGTTTTTAGTAAATTTATCTCACTGTGCAGCCGTCACCATATCCAGCTTTGGAACATTTTTTTTCCCCAATAAGATCTTTCATAATCTGTTTATAATGGATCCCCATTCCCACCACGACCCTAGGGAAATATGCATCTACTTTTCTGTCACTATAGATTTTCCTTCTCTGGACATTTCATGTACACGGAATCATATAACATGTAATCTTTTGTGTTTGGCTTCTTTAACTTAGTGCCTTTTTAAAGTTCACTCATGTTGTAGCATGTATCTGTATTTTACACTTTTTTATTAGTATTGGTGTTCCGTTATGGATATACCATATTTCGTTTATCCCTTCACCAGCTCATGGGTATTTGGGCTCTGTCCACTTTTTGGCTCTTAGGAATAACGCTGATATAAACATTACTGTAGGAATCTTTGTGTGAACATAGGTTTTCTTTTTTTTGAATAGATAGGTAGGAATGGAATCGCTGGCTCATATGAAACATTTCAACTTCTCAGAAACTGAAGAACTATTCCAAAGTGGCTGTACTTTTTCACATTCCCGTCAGCCACGCATGAGAATTTCTGTTCTTAACATTTTTGCCACTTGTTATTGTCTGTCTTTCTGACCATAACCACCCTGGTGGTTACAAAGTGGTAACTCACTGTCGTTTTAATGTTCATTTCTCTAGTGACTAATGATGTTAAGCATCTTTTCATGTGCTTATGAGCCATTTGTGCATTTTTTTAGATATGTCTGTTCAAATCTTTGCCCATTAAAAAATTGGATTGTCTTGTTATTGAGTTGTAAGAGTTCTTTGTATAACCTGGATACATTTTTTTTTTTTTTTGCCATATATGTGATTTATACATATTTTCTCCAGTCTGTGGTTTGTCTTTTCATTTTCTTAACAATTCCTTTTGAGTGTAAAGTTGTTTCTAAAAAAATTTCAATTTTGCTTGACTGACGTGGCTGAGCTGTTGAGCATTGACCTAGGATCCCGGAGATTGCAGTTTGATTTTTGGTCAGGGCACAGGCTGGGGCTGCTGGCTCGATTCCCAGTGGGGGTGTGCAGGAGGCAGCCGATCAATGACTCTCTCATCATTGATGTTTTTATCTCTCTCTTCCTCTCCCTTCCTGTCTCTAAAATCAGTAAAGATACATTTTTTTAAAAAAAATTTAATTTTGAAATAAGTAGATTCACAGAAAGTTGCAAAGATGATATAGAGAGGTCCTATGTACCCTTCACCCAGTTTTACTCCCAAATTTTGAATTTTTATTAAGTCCAATTTATCATTTTTTTCTTTTATAGATCATACTTCCTGGTTGGGTTTAAAAAATCTTTGCCCAATCCTGTTCTATTCTAAAAGTTTTATAGCTTTAGTTTACATTAATGCCTCTGATCCATTTTGAATTACTTTTTGTAAAGTGTGAGGTAAGGGTCTACGTTCATTTTTTAGAATGTGGATATCCAATTGACCCAGCACCATTTGTTGAAAACTCTCCTTTCCATCAAGCTGCCCTTGTCCAAAATCAACTGGCCATAAATATAAGGCCTTATTTCTAAACTTTCAAATCTGTCCCATTCATCTATGTTTATTCTTATATCAGTACCAAGCAGTTCTGATAACTTATATTAAGTTTTAAGATTAGGAAATGAAGGTTTTCCAACTTTGTTCTTTTAAAAAATTTTTGGCTATTCTGTGTCTTTTTTTATTTCCATTTTAGGTAGAGCTTGCCAATTTATACAAAAAATCCTGCTGGAATTTTGATGGAGATTGAGTTGAATCTATAGATCAATTTGGGGAGAACTGTCATCTTAACAATATTGAGTTTCCCAATCAGTGAATGTGGCATATCTCTTCATTTATTTAGATCATATTTAATTTCCCTCAGCAATGTTTTGAAAACCTTATTGTACAAATCTTGCACTTCTTTTGTTATATTTATTTTTATATTTCTTTTTAGCACTCTTGGGAATGGATTGTTCTATATTTATTTACAGATTGTTCACTCTTGTATATAGAAATATAATTTATTTCCATACATTAATCTTGTATTCTGCAGCCTTGCTGAGCTTGTTGAATTTTAATAGGGGTTCTGTGCGTGCACACACGTGTATTCCGATCTCCTACATACAGAATCATGTTGTCTTCAGACAAGGATGGTTTTACGTCTTCCTTTCTAATCTAGATGCCTTTTATTTTTGTGATTGAACTGGCTGGAACCCCCAGTGCACCGAGTAGAGGAGCTGACGCTCTTGCATTATTTTTTCACCATTAAGTATGATGCTAGCTGTAGGTTTTTCACAGATGCCCTTTATCACATTGAGGAAATTCTCTTTCCTTTCAATTTGTTGAGAATTTTTATTATGAGCTGGCTTTTGCCAAATGCTTTCCTTCATCTATTGGGATGGTCGTGTGGTTTTTACCCTTTATTAATATGATGTATTACATTAATTGATTTTGGAATATGAAAGCATTTGCACTCTTGGGTTGAATGCCACTTGCTCAGGGTGTATAATCCTTTTTCTATGTCACAGGATCGATCTGACTTTAGTATTTTGACTTTCGAAGAAATGAGAAATTAGTCAACTGAAGTGGTCTCTCTATAAAATTCAAACGGTTTTGCCCGGCCGGGCGTGGCTCAGCAGTTGAGTGTTGACCTGGGATCAAGGCGATCAGGGTTCGATTCCCGGTCAGGGCACATGCCCGGATTGCGGGCTCCATCCCCAGTTCGGGGCGTGCAGGAGGCAGCCGATCAATGACTTTCTCATCATTGATGTTTCTATCTCTCTCTCTCCCTCTCCTTTCCTCTCTCTGAAATCAATAAAGATATATTTAAAAAAAAAAAAATTCGAACGGTTTTAATGATATTCTTAGCAATGAGAAAATTCACATACCAGTATCTTTCATCATAACCCAAAAGATTCAAAACACTTCTGTTGAGTATAATCTGTGTTCCAAGTAACAACGTAGACTGTGTTTTCAAACGATGCCTTCTTTACGTTATACAAATATTTTATTCATCTGCCTAAAGGGGAGTCATTTCAACTTTGTGAAAACTTATTAATTTCTTAGTGGTATCTTTCAAGACTACTATTCATTTTATTTCATCACTACATTTACAGACTCAAACTTATAACGTTTCTGAAAGACAAAAACTCAAAGTCCGAGCTATGACATTTTAATACCTAGTCCTTGTAGTCAACGGTGAATATTACAGATTGATCCCCGTGTTCGTCCTTCTTTTTCAAAATGAGTTTAAAGAGATCGTTCTCCTTCTTACAAGCCAGAAAATGCTCTTTATACAACGAAGACTCAAATTCCATCCTGCTGCTGTACCCCGGCAAGCTTCTCATGAAGAAGATCATTTCATTTTCTTCGCCGCTGATGCTGTCAGGAGGGCTCATTTCCTATGGAGGAAAAAAATGTTAATTTTTTGAGGACATGAACCATCAGAATATGTGTTTATTTTGAATTCTATTACTTATTTCCACAAGAAAAAAAAATATCTCTGATCTCCTCTCTCTTTCTCTCTTTTTTGGTTAATCCTCACCTGAGGATATTTCTCCACTGATTTTAGATAGAGTGGATGGGAGGGAGGTAAGGAAAAAGGGAGGGAAGGAGCAAGCGAGAGAGAGAAACATCAATGCGAGAGAGACACATCGATTGGTTGCCTCCAACATGTACCCCAACTGGGCTGGGGATTGAACCTGCAACCCAGGTAATGTGCCCTTGACCGGGAATTGAACCTGTGACTTTTCAGTGCACACGCCAACACTGTAACTACTGAGCAACACTGGCCAGGGCTCCTCTCCCTCTTAATTCCTAATCTCCTGTTCTTGTCCACTTTGGCTGTTCCCGCCATGGAATGCTCACTCAGGTTTAGTTCTCTGGTTTTTCCCAATTTATTAATCACATAGCTTCCTTCTCTCCTCCTCCTACTGCTCAAGATGGAGTAGAATTCTAGCAAAGACCACAGCCTTTTTGGGCTAATATGAGTTCCTGTCTTTTCCAGCCATTCAGAGCTAAAGACACTGATGACCTGTAGCCATAGCCTAGCCTGGCTCTAGTTTGTGAGCCAACTGTGAGAGAGGCAGAAAGTGGCAGGAATCTCAGCTTCTTCCTTCTTTCAGTGGAGGCTAGAACTGCAGCTTGCTGTAAATAGACTCACTGCAGCTGTTCTAGGACTGAGTCCTTGATTCCTGTTTGACCTCGCTGTATGGGCTTAGTCAGCAGCCTCTGACTTTTTCCTACCAAGTAATCCAGTTCCACAGGAGTCCTGAATGTCTATCCTGAAAGTAGTCTATGGGCTAGGCCCTGCCCTGGAAGGCCAAATTCTGATTCCAATATCTCTCAGACACAGAATAGGGTTTTCTCACGAATGGCTAGATCATTTGAAACTATAATCCTGCTGGTCACCTAACTGGCAGTACTGTCTATATGTTTTTTATTATTGTATCATACCTACGTTTCAAGATGGACTAGAAAATCTGAGGACCATCCAAGGTTCTTTCCATGTTAATCCTGGAACCAGTAGATATCTGAATGTAATTTTGACCCCACAGTAGCAAAAATTCTCATGATCCTAACTAAGAACTGACGGAGAGAGGTCCAGATCCAAAACAGCCCTGGCCAGTGTGGCCCAGTGGTTAGAGCTTTGGCCCATGTACTGAATGGTTGCAGGTTCGATCCCCGGCCCCAGTTGGGGCATGTGTGGGAAGCAATCAATCAATGTGTTTCTCTCATATTGATGTCTCTGTCTCTGTCTGTCTCTCCCTCCCTCCTATCCACTCTCTCTCAAAAAAAAAAAAAAAAAAAAAAAAAAAAAAAAAAAAAAAAA